ACAAATAGTTTATTCACCACCACCCCTCAAAAAAAAAAATGCAGTTTTGGTTGACCTGAATCTATATGCAAATTTAACAAGAATTAGCCAGATCCCTTTTTGAAGCTTGAACATGTTTTTGGTCAAAAACTAACTGGGTGCCATTCACAAACCCAAGGGTGCCCCCCATCCTTATAACTTTTAGCTCACTGTTTAGGGCACTCACCAGGATACATGAATAATCATCAGGCCAAAAAGGAAAGAGAATGACTCTATAACCTGATGGTTAGGGCACTCATCCGCAGAGCTGGGAGACCCAGGATCAGTTCCCTGCTCCACAGCAGGCAGAGGAGGGAACTGAACCTGGGTCTCCCATATCCTGGGTGACTGCTCTAAACACTAGGCTAAAAGCTAGAAGAGGGTACCATCACCACCTCCCTTCTCCTGCATCTAGCCCTTTAAAACTACCTGGAAATAAAATGTTTAGGTCAAACAAACATTTCATTTGACCTGAAATGGACTTTACCAATTCATTGAAAATTTTGGAATTTCTCATTTTCGTTTTGACCCAAACCATTTTTTTTCCCCAAAACTTCCAGCAAACCAAAAACTCAGTTATTTTTCACTCAGTTATATTCAAGATATATTCCTGGTAATAAAATATTGGTGATTTTAATCTTGATCTAAGTTTACCCTTAACTGGTTGTTTTAGAAAATATTATTGCTATTTTACCATAGCTATAGCTGATCTACTTTCCTACTTAAGAGACATAAGACCACATCCTGCAATTCACTGTTCGCTGGAGAATGGCTGTACCTGCATGGAGCTATATTGATTTCAGTGGTGTACAGAGATCTCCCCGGGCACAAAACATTTCAGGGGCTTAATGTTTGTGTGAAGTTCTCTAAATTCCTCAGGCATAAGGTGCTATGCAAGACAGGTCTACACTGCAAACTTACATTGGTATAACTATGTCACTCAGGGGTGTGAAAAATCCACACTCCTGAGTGATATAGTTATAACAACCTATCCCCCAGTGTAGACAGCGCTAACCTCTGGACAGATCTACTGCCTCTTGTAGAGGTGGATTAACTACACCAATGGGAGAAGCTCTCCCATTGGCTTAGTAGCATCTTCACTAAAGCGCTTTATCTGCACTGCTGTACATATAGACAAGACCTGAGTGTCCTCATCTTATTCTTCTACTTGCCTTAAGGGACTTGGGACTGGCTGGTGCTTTAAGACGTGTCTATAGTAGAGTTTTCCCTCCATTGCTAACATGGATTCACCTCTAACAGCAGTGACAATGGTGGGAGTATCTGCATAAACAAGGTGTTGGTTATCACTGGTATTTTACCACCATGGTGTGTAGACTTGCTCTGAAACAATTTATATGACAGTGCTTAACACCCTGGTGGGAGTCTAAAGCCCTGCCTACACTAACGTACCCACCATTGCTACTACAGGTGGAGCAGCACCAGCATTTACAATGGTGGTAAGCAGGGCCGCCCAGAGGGGGAGGCAAGTGGTGCAATTTGCCCCTGGCCCGGCAGCGGTCCAGGTCTTCAGCAGCATGGGGTCCTTCAATGCTGCCGAAGATGCAGAGCGACTGAAGGACCCCCCGCTGCCAAAATGCCACCAAAGACCCGGACCGCCGCTTTGCCCCAGGCCCCCTGAATCCTCTGGGCGGCTCTGGTGGTAAGTTTCAGAACACAACATTTCTTACCTGGTCATTTCTTTTCTGCTAGCATCTCCCACAATTCTGCTATGCATGGGCTGCGCTCTTCCTATCTGCAGCTTCTGGAGGTGGTTCAAAGCTGCAGTGCAGCTTGTGTAGACCATGCCTTCTTCTCCCACTTGCCAACAAGTCATTCCAAAGCTAGGTAAAAAACTCAGACAATGTATAACGAACATTAATGTCCAACTCATTAACCACGTACACCAGGTCAACTCCCTGCAGGGTAAATACACCAAATAAAATATTGACTCTTGACAGAAAGCCATCTTGGTTGAGTAAAATTGTGGGAGATGCTGTTAACAGAAAGGAAATTATCAAGTAAGAAATTTTCCATTCTGTAGCCCAGTACTCTCCTACAATTCGGCTACTGATGGAAGTAGCAAGCAATGAACAGGAATATAAGGAACAAGAAAAGGCAAATTGAAAAAGAGAGAAAGACAGACTCCCCACCGCATTGAGGATTGTCCAAAAGGCAAGACCATTACAGGACCACCACCTGGAGTATGTTCCTGCTAGAAGCAGCTTCTGTGGAAGAAAGAAATTTGTACAATCCACTTTGTAGCGTTTGATAAAGGTTTTAACCCATGACAATGTAGGTGCTCCGCACAGCTCTACAATGGAGGCACATGCTCGTTGGCCCCTGGGGTGGCCATGGATCTCATGCACTGTGCCCTGATTTCTTCTGGAAGAGGAGTGCCTGACACTTTGTAAGCATCAACAACGCATAGTCTGACCCATCTAGTCTCGAGACTCTGAGCCCGTAACATTTTGAGTGAAAGGAGACACCCAGAGCGCCTGACCTCCGCATGGATTCTGTGAGGGTGAGGTAGATTTTTCAGTGATCTTCTGACATCTAAAGTGTGCCACAGCTTCTAAGTCAGGTGCTGTGGCTTTAGGGAGAAGGAAGGATAATCTCTTTCAAGAGATGGGAAAGAGAACTCGGGGGAGAAGAGACTCTGGAGTTCTCAGTACCACCTTGTCCTCATGGAACATATAGTAGGGTTCCTATATAGATAGCTCTGAAACTTGACTAGCAGACATGATGGCAACCAGAAAACAGGTTTTGATGGAGATATACAAGGCTGATATAGAGAGGCTCAAAAGGGTGAGTGTTTAGGGCCTTCAACACCCGCAGTATGTCCCAACTAGGGAAGTCTGGTCTGACCACTGGTCTGGCCAGCCTGACTGCTCTGAGCAATCTGGCTACCTGGGGATTCTGTTCCAAAAAGCCCAAAGATCTTCAAGATCAAACTCTTCTAATGGCTGATACCTGGTGTGCTATGGTGTGGGGCTGAAAACCTTAATCCATATCTTCTTAGGAAAAAATCAAAGGTAGATCCAGTTCCAGAATCTCTTGGACTAGCATTGGTCTGCTGGCACCAAAGGCTAAACTTGGTCCAGATGGAACAGGCTTTTATCCTGGAGACTCACCTCGACACTAGCAAAATCCTGAGCACTTCGGAAGACAGGCTTTCAATAACCAGGCTTCTCAATTGAAGATGATCTGGGTGGAGAAAAGTGCTTTGGAAAGCTGCTGGGTGGCAGCTGTAATGGTAAATTCAGTTTCAGCTCTACCAGATGGTAGAGCCGTGGCCTCCTTGGCCTATACAGACTTATCATGATCAACTTTGCTTGTTCCCACCTTATCTTTTACATTGCTTTTGATGGAAGCGGGGGAATGCGTATAGCAGGCCTTGCGGCTACCTGTCCATGGGAACTGGTGCCCTGTTGCATGACCCCAGAAGGCCCAGTAGCTGAAGGCACCAAGCTAGGGTGGGTTTGGCGCACTTGCACATGATGGCAATGAGATCCTGGTTCTTCTGGAACCGGTCTAGTAATGGTTAGACCTTTGCCACTGACATTCTTATGTCCACTCCCAAGTGGGTTATCCCTGTTGATAGGATCAAGGAACTTTTCTTGGTGTTTATCATAATACCATGAGCTTCCAGGAGGTCTGGAGTTCTCATTGTGGTGTTATAGAACACAGGCTAGGTAAGCACTCTGATTAGAATATCATCCAGAAGAGGGTACAGGTGAGTGACTTGAGCCTAGCTATGATCACCACAAGCATCATTGTAAAGACTCTTAGGGCCGAATGGCCTCAAACTTTTTGCACATGGTCTCAAAACTTCTCCAGGGAAGGGTGGGGCAAATTTTTGCTCCATTTTACCTGAGTCTTGCTCAGATTCCAAGCCCAAGAGCTCTCCTTTCTTGGTAGAGGCGGCAGCAGCTGACTCAAAGGACAAATGCCTTCTGGATATTTTTGTACTTTCTGGGCTTTTCTGACTTTTTGGCACACTTTGCAGGTGTGGCTGCCTGAGCATGGCCAGAATGTGGTCTCTTGGTACTTGCTTTACACAGAGCCAAATCCCACTAGAGAGCTCTCCCTACCTCCCTCCCCGGGTCTCTCTCTCATCTGAGTCCCACTCTCCTGGGGATGGGATCTAATCCAGATTGGGAAGGCAGGGGGACTATTTAGCATCTCTCCCCAGGGAAGGCCTTGTGGTGGGGACCAGTATCCCAGTATGGATATCTTTGTGGTCCTGTTTTACCCCAGGATTTACCCCCTGGGCAGGCTGGATAAAATCCTCTTTGTCCTTAGAGTCTGTTCTGATCTGTCTCTTGGTTGGTTTCTCTGTGGTGGAGTTATGCCTACTTGGATGGGCTGGGGACTCAACATGCCCGTGATTCAGAGCTCTGTGCCCTAGCAGAGTTAGGGGTAGCTGGCTCACTAGGAGCAGGCAGGGCACCATTTGCCTTCTACTGAGCCGGAGAAGGTGCTCTGTATGCAAAGCAGCTTTCTGGACTTTGCCTGATGCTTGTGCAGTTGCTCTGCCATGCCTGCGATGGGGCATGGCAGCCCAGTGAGGAGGAACTGCAGCAGGGGCTTTGGGTGGTTGTGACCACTGCACTGCTCAGACACTGGACTAGGATGTGGCAAGGAAGCATGAAGCAAAACGTTCAAACTGCCTGAAAAATGCCCAAAGCAATGAAGTCAAAAGAAAAGGGATGGGAGCTAAGCGAACCACCACTGTCTGCTGCTGCAGAGACAGAAGATCTGTCAACAAGTGGGAGAACAGGACGTAGCCAAGGCGATGAAGCTTTGGCTCATCTCTGGAAGCTGCATAGGGGAGGAGAGGAGCCCATGTGGAGCAGAACTGTAGGAGATACTGGGCTGCAGAAAAAGAACTTGGTAGAGATACAGCCTTAAAGATTTGAACCATTTTACAGTTCTCTTCTATGTACTCGCTACATATTACCATAAAAAGTCATACTAACGACTTTGTGACAGAAGTTTTATTTGGAGGGAAATTATAATTTTTGCATATACATGGCACAAATTAATTATATACAATACACTTCCCATGATAAGAAATATGATGTTGTTCACAGAAAGGTATCGATTTGAGATACATAATGCATAAGCTAAAATATACAAACAGGGAGAGGAAGTGAACCTAATGGCCTTTTTCGTTTAATTACCTATAGATGTATTTCAAGGAATACTGATAATTTAATGTTCAAAAAGTTTTTTAATAAACAAACTTCTAGTAAAGTTAATTGAAATATTTATAATACTATTCAGCTGCTGCACAGTATTTCCAATATACAATCAAGAAGTTACACAGAACACAACACTTATTATGAAAAAAATCTATTGCACCCACAATTTAAAGGTTTCACTGCTTTTTCTGGATGCTGCACTACCATATGTATATAAACATTTACAACACTTTAGTAAACACAAAGCTTCTAAATGTAGTGCAGTCTTATGGGGGACACTCTCAACTCTTAAAATAAATGTTAAATGCCCATATACCGTGCCATTTATTCTAAGCAGATGTCTTAAGTTATACTCCATTATTCCTATTGTGAGTAACAAACAAGCTTTCCCCACGTTCAGAAGATTAGTATTCCTCTGGTTATACATATTCTGTACTCCTTTGCTCAAATGCCACTAGTGGCGTTTCATGCCTCAGTGCTTGTGACACATTTGTCTCTTATGTTATTTGCTTCAATGTCCTGTTAAATAATCCTGTGTAGAGTCTGAAGCAAAAGAATCTGCATCTTCATTGTCGGAATCATCGCTACTGTCATCAGCAGCTGGCTCTCCTGTCAGTGCTATCCGGGCATAATCATCAGTGTCTATGGACTTGCAGAAATGAATGGCATATTTCAGTTTTTCCTCCAGTACCTGCTTACAAGAATACCTGGGCAGTTTCAGCAGAAAGAAGCATGTATAGGACTCAGGAAGGAAGTGGTCTGGAGGATTGTATTTATCCAAAACCTGTCAGACAACAGGCACAAGCCATTAGTTTTACTGTTCAACAACACAGAGATTACAAGCTAAAATAAGACGAGGATTAAAAATAAATAAATCAATCAATCACATATTTACTCTGATGTTAAGAAGACACTTAAAAATAATAGCTGCTAAGTCAAGTACATCTTCTTCATACTAAATCAAAAACATTATTCTATATAGTATGAGGCTCTTAGAAATGCTAAAGGAACAAGCTAGATAAAATCCAACTATTCGCTATGTAACTTGTAAAATATAAAAAATGCTCTAGTGCTAAAAACATAGCTTCAGTGTATTAAGTTGAAACATCTAATAAGATAACGGGCCTCTTAAGTGAATACTAGCAAAATCAGGGGTGACTGCTACTGAGGGAAACTCACCAAAAGAAGCAAAATAGGCAGGGAGCCCAGCACAGGAAATAGCCAGAGTTGGACCAAGGACAATATTTAAATGAAAGTGTGTTGCTTAGTTATGCATTTTGCATCCTCTACTGCTCTAAACTCTAAAGTGAACTTGATATTAAACTAGCTCAGTGAAGTTAGCACATTCTCCTGTCTGCCACCACTCCTTCATTACCAACCTGCAGGTCTCTTCACCTTACCTGAATAACAAAGTCCCTGCCTCTGAAGTCTGCAATAGTTCTAGGTAGCCTTGTCCTGCCCCATACAAAACGTAAGAAGAGAGATCGTTCTGTATTGGAGAAGGATTCCATCACCTCCCAGAACCACTGTATCAAGGAGGCGGTAGGTTCAATTCCCTTATATGTTGCTACAGACTTCAAAAGGTGAAGTGGGATATCTGGGCTTCCACATACCTGAAAATAAAACATGAAAATAAGAAAAAGAACTGATCAGAAACCAGTCAAAAGCAATTTGTTCCCTTCTTTCCATCAAAATGTTTAATCAGCTTTTTCAATGACAAAACGAACATTCCAAACATCTACTAGTTATGGTCCATTAACTCCTTCAAACAAGGAGGCTTAGCATCAGGGACAATGACTAGCCTCCTTTTATGCTACTGCAGCACTAAACTTAACATTTTACAACTTTGAAGCGCTATACAAAATTGAATTAGCCCTCAACAGCTCTTTCAATGATCTCTTTCCAAGTCAAATGTCAGATCTCAGCAGTTCCTGGTTCTTAGCTCCACACTTAATCTATTACATCACACTGCCCAACTGCATAAAAAGTAATCCTTGTAAAAGTACGATAGGACAACTATATAAATATTTTCTACTCCTCTCCTTCACCTACAAATTACATGCAATCTACTATAATCAGACTGCATGTTTTACTAGAGCTAAAACATGAGAGTTGGATCAGTAAGACTCAAGTAAATGGCCTAATTTTACATCATCAATCCAGCAGAAGTAGCGAATGAGAAAACCTATACCATTGTTTCCAGTTCATATCCCGTAAAGAGTGAAAGAAGAGGAACAGGAACAACCCGGGCCATCCCTTCCCGAACTGCTGCAACTTGTTCATCAAATTCATGAAGCCTGCAGAAAGACATTTCAGTGGAAATAAGTTTCAGTGAACACTTATCGTGATCATTTGAGCAGCTTGCATTGTGAATTAAAATTACTATCCAAAAATCATTTCTTAATTATGCCAATTTGTTGCCTCATTTATACTAATCAGTAAGCATTTGGGACAACAACATTTTCATATCCTGGGATGCCCAGTTAGGCTCCTAAATGCAAATATAGCTATTTAATTAAAAGTGGCCTCATTTTAGGAAGTGCAGAGCACCTCCAGCTCCATTGACTTCAGAATTCTGGCTGCTCAGTGCTTCTGAAGATTAGAGCACTTATTATGGGTCTACATATGGATTCAGGAGCCTAACTAGGCACTCGGGGGTAGAAATTTTGGCCTTAGTTTTTAAAATAAGATTGGAATTTGCTTAATGTTTTCTAGGTAGGAAAGAATTTCACCATTTTTTGAATCCCTTTTAGCTGCACATGAAGTATGAAAGTATGTGGGAATGCCAGTTGTAAAATGACTAAACTGTCTTCACATTAAAAAAGCTTCATTAAACTTTCTCCGTTCTTGTTAAAGATTTTTCTTCTATGCTCTTGTCCAATTTAGGAGGTTCATAATTTGGTGAACTTGGATGTAATTAGTGTCAGATTATCAACTAAAATGGAAGCCGCGCAAGTTATCCTATAGTAAAGGATTACACTATATTAAAAACTAATGCTCCATCTTTAATCATGATTATTTTATGTGTAAGATACCATGCAATCTCCAGCAAGATAGACCTAACTTTTGCAAAATTCTGGCTAAAAGCCCCATGTACGTATATAATGAAACGACCATTTCTGCCCCAAAGCGTTGACAATCTAATTATATGGAGGAACAGCCCAGCACAAAGATGAGGGTGGAGCAGAAGATAACAGTCCAGGCTGATTTTACTCAATTAAACTGGGGAATCATAGAGGGATGTGGTATTCCTATTCCTGGCAAACTCTGGCTGTCACAAAAGCCCTTTGTGAGACATGGGTAAGCAAGTAAATTAGACCATCCCCAAAATCCAGGGCCACAAAGCCACCTTTCCTACCCACACTCTTATCTTGACCTAAGCACATCTCAGTCAAATTGGAGTGTATCTGCCTCACATGTAAAGATTAGATGGCATTAGGCAAGGATTGAAAAGTGAGGATAAAATTTTATTAAAGCTAATGTTAAAATGATCTAATACATAGGTTAAGAAAAGAGTGTCTGTAAATCTGGGTATAGTGCTTAAATTATCCAAAAGTACAAAGGTTGGTTTAAAAGTAATACAATACATATAGTACATAATCAGCAATAACCCAAATAAGATTAATATATTTAATGATATTGTTTAGATATTAGCATCCAAATATTCGGGTACATCACTCATGAAAAGTTATACAGAGTTGGTTGTAGAAAGCAAATATAGGAATGAGGGTAAATAGTCCCTCAGTGCTTGATAGGTTGTTCCTTAGACGATACATTTTAAAACAATTAAAGTCTCAAGTCAATTGCCACAGGCAAAATTTGCGGTTTCAATTTTGCATCTAAAACTGAATAGAAAGCCAAGGGAAAGATTGGAGTCCAGATGTAGCAGGCTCTTGTGGTCCTGCTCCGCACTAAAAGGAGACTAATGATAGTTTGCATTAACTGGAACTTCTGAGAGGACTTTAAGGATAAGCCCAAATAGAACACATTACAGCAGGGGTAGGCAACCTATGGAGCTGATTTTCAGTGGCACTCACACTGCCCTGTCCTGGCCACCAGTCCGGGGGGCTCTGCATTTTAATTTAATTTTAAATGAAACTTCTTAAACATTTTAAAAACCTTATTTTCTTTACATATAACAATAGTTTAGTTATATATTATATACTTATAGAAA